TTGATCTTATTTTAAATGTAATGATGTATAATCGAAATTAATCTCAAATTCTAAGAGATTTTGAATATTTTAGTCACGAACCAAACAATTTTTTAGTTATTTTAAATAAACATGGTGGGAAATTGAAATAGAAAAACATAAAATCACAATAAATAAAAAATTTCTCTAATGATTACTTTTGATTTGGGGGAAATGGATGGTACAACAATGAAGCTTAAATAAAAGGTTTGGTAAAAGGTAATGAGCTCATCAATATAATTATAATATACATTAAACCCTAATTGGTAATATAATATTTTAACTTTTAATGAGCTCATCAATATAATTATAATATACATTAAACCCTAATTGGTAATATAATATTTTAACTTTTCATAATAATTCAAACTTTATAATGGGTTATGGATTATTCAACTTAATTAACTCTTATATGGGTAAGAATTTTTACCTTTTTGTAATTAATATTCCTTTCAATTTTTTAATATAAGATCTTTAAATTTATATTTTAGGTAGTCTTCTCATTAACGTTTAAAATTAAATAGATGACTCAGTCACTAAAAGAAAATTAATAATTACATATAATTGAATTATTCCAAATTTTCGAAGATAAAAACTCAGTCACTAAAAGAAAATTAATAATTACATATAATTGAATTATTCCAAATTTTCGAAGATAAAAACACTTAAATAATTTTTCTAGACAATGATGGAACTAATTGAACCCTTCAAAGCTTTGCTAACCAAAGAACTAATCTTGTTTACAAATCTCAAATCAAATTGTGATTAGCATAACTAATACACCATAAGATAAGATTAGCACCAGAATGAGAGGAGAAATAAGAACAAAAAACAATATAATTGAAAAGACAACGCAATTATCTTGTTTGTTTATTAATCCCAACCAGAAAAAGAAAAANAATCCGTTTTTTTTTTTTTTTTTGGTCTCATCAATCCTAATAATCAGTATAACCTTCTTGTTCTCATAATTTAAGATTTCAATACGGCGGTCGGACATAAGCATACCCGTCGTGGCCGAGCTGAACGCCGTTGGGCATCATGTCGGGCAGTAAATTATACAACGGCAAAGTGGGATCCGGCATCCCAGTTGGCATCTGCCCACCGCCTCTAATTTCCTGTGGTGGGCTTGTAGCGCCGCCGTGTGAGGCGGATCCACTGCCAATTTCATGATCCTCCGGATCTTCAAGAGGCAACCTTTCATAAGTGGCATTAGAAAAAGTAGCAGCAATTACCATAATAGGACCGGCCGCCACAAGCGACCCAACAACGCTCCCGCCGACGACCTGCCCCTGACCGCCCGACAAGTAAACGGTCAGCCCGGTGGATCCGGGTGGGGCTGGACCGGGTAAAAACGCGCCGGTTAAAGAGAGAATCTCAAACCTTCCTTGGAGTGGCATTACCGAACCGGGAGATGTAGGCTGACGTAACGTGACGTTAGCGACCAAGCCGGTTGCACTGAGAACGCAGACGCCACGCTGGCGCTTCCGAGCGAATTGGGCGATGGAATTCGCCACGTCAGATCCGGCAGCCACCTCTAGAACGTAGCTCCGAAGGGCGTTGGGACTGTCACGTGTGACAAAGATGGGGGGTTTTGGTTTGTTTTTAGATCCAGGTGGACGCCCTCTTGGTCTCCGGTTTCCGGTTTCCACAGCACCTTCTTTCGGTTCATCACGGTTGTTGTCATCGTCGTCGTCCTCTCGGCTTCCGCTTCCTCCGCCGCTGTTTTCATCGCTTTGTTTGAAGATTGGTGAGTTGACCGCCGCCGGGTGATGATGATCCAGCCCCGGCAGCCCTACCTGCGTGGTCCACCAAGGATTCGCCAGACCTAAAATTCAATTAAATTCCTAGAAAACTATTTAAAAAAAAAAAAAAGGTGAAATCTTGAAATGAATTGGATCAATGAAATTGATGCGAGTAGAGGGTTTTGAGGGAAAAAGAGAGAGACCCTTTTGTTAGTTTAGAGAGACAAGAAAAACCCATATTTTAGTTTGGAAGAAAGATGCAAAGGGAAGGGAAGAAAAGAGGAAAACCCTTTGCACCACTTCTTGTTGCAGTAATGGAATGGAGGGAATCAAAGCCCCAATACAGAAGAATAACCCTTTGCACCACTTCTTGTTGCAGTAATGGAATGGAGGGAATCAAAGCCCCAATACAGAAGAATAAACCCAGAGATGGGGAAGCACTAAGTAATGGGGTCAAACACTCAACCCTCTATTTTATTTTATTTTTTATTTTTTATTTCTTTAACTGTCTGTGGGATTGAATTGGAGGACATATCACAATTATTAAATTATACCCAAAAAAAAAAAATGTATTTTTTGTGGAAATTTTGTTGTGTAACAACCAAACAAAATGAATTATTTGATTAATTAAAATAAATAAATATATATATATATATCTATAGGGTGATCGGCTCTGCTTTTAGGGGTTCTTGGAAATTAGGGTTTGGTGGGTTTGGGTGGCGTGCGCGTGGGGAGGGGTAGCCTCAGCCCTTCTGTCTCTCTCTCTCTCTCTCTCTCGAAAGAAGAGAAGTGGGAGTGGTGACAGGACAATGGGATGGGCCTTAACACTAGCCCATTCTGTTCTAATTGGGCTTTTATTTTCCTTTTGTTTCTCTTGTATTCTTCCTATTTTTTCTATTGGACGATGAAAGTCCTAATTTAGGGAATGATCATGGGTTTATAAGTGAGGAATACTAACTCCAATGGTATGAGGCCTTTTGGAAAGCCCAAAACAAAGCCATGAGAGCTTATGCGAGTCGTGTTCGTTAATAATGAAAAGGCTCTTCTAATTCTTCTCGTTAAGGTTACAAGTGACGATCTTCATCTAAATTATCTATATCTTCATTTTTTATTATGCTTTTTTTCTATAGAACGATACCAATAATTATTGTTGTCAAAATCTAGTAGAGAAAAATGTATTTGGCCTTTGGATAAGGACAACAATAAAAATAAAAATAGAGATAATTGATTGGTGGGTAACCTAATTTTCTATTTTTTCATTTATTTATGAAGAGGTAAAATAATTATTCTCAACAGAAAGTATTCCCCTTTCCACACTAAACATCCCATTATATACAATATTCTCAACAATTCTATCCACAATTTTATTTCTTTTTGACTTTTTGAAGTTGGATTAAAATTAAAATTGCACTTTTAATTATATGGATCAAAACATTAATAATGTAATATAAATTTTTAGGAATTTGTGAAAAAAAATTGTTCAAATTATCATATCTTTCATGTGACTAATTAAGATTAAACATGGTAGATTTGAAAAATATAATTAAAATATTTTTTATATTTTCTTTGTGACTAATTAAGATTAAACATGGTAGATTTGAAAAATATAATTAAAATATTTTTTATATTTTCTTTTAGAAAATAACTAAATTTCTATTCGGATATTACGGATATTACTATTGTTGAACTAAAAAAATCATTTAAAAAAATGTTAGTGCATAGAAATGCGTGCCAATTTCTCGTCCTCCTTATTTATTAAGAGCACAACACGAATTGAAGCAGCTTATTGAAGAACCATCCAATTTCTCGTCCTCCTTATTTATTAAGAGCACAACACGAATTGAAGCAGCTTATTGAAGAACCATGTGCACACTTGAGAGGCGTGGCAATCTCTTCATCATCACCCTCACCGGCGACGACGAGCACTGGATCGGCCCACCCTTCATTTCCTCCTTCCTCTCTCTTCTCACCCAAATCAACTCCCAAGCCACTCCCGGTTCCGTTCTGATCACCACCTCCCATGGCCGCTTCTTCTCCAATGGCTTCCACCTTCCCTGGGCTCAATCCGCTGCCTCCAAATCCGCCGCTAGAGACCGCATACTCCACATGGTTCATATCTTCAAGCCTGTCCTCGCCGCCCTTCTCTCTCTCCCCATGCCCACCATCGCCGCTGTCTCCGGCCATGCCGCCGCCGCAGGTTTTGCTCTCGCTCTTAGCCATGATTACGTCCTGATGAGGCGCGATAAAGGCGTGCTCTACATGAGCGAGGTCAGTTAACTAAATCATAATTCATAAACTTTCTTATACAAATAAACGTAATATTTATTTTAATCCAAATATGTTGTAAAAATTCTTCAAATAAACTATATGCAAAATAAGATTTAAAGGTAATATGACCATAAGTTTTTTTTTTTTTTTTTAATAAATAATTTACAATAATTTGAAGTGATAATATCTTGACCCAATTAACATAATTTAATAAGAATTCACGTTTATTAATTCAAATATTAAATAGTAACAAAGTAAATTATCATTCATAAACACATTTATACCAATCAAACAATTAAAAATTGACAATAAAATATCTAATTATTAGACACAAATTTAAAAGTGGGAGGAGTAAAACTTGTAATTTATTATTCATGACAGATTGACTTGGGTTTTACATTGCCCGATTACTTTGCGGCATTGATGAGGTCGAAGATCGGGTCAGCCTCGGTTCGTCGAGACGTGTTGCTGGCAGGGATGAAGGTGAATGGTGAAACAGCAGTGAAGTTGGGAATCACAGATGCAGCACACGACGGCGAGGAGGCACTGATGGAGGCGGCGGTGGCGATGGGGGAGAAGTTGGCAAAGAGGAAGTGGGAAGGAGAAGCTTACGCGGAGATTAGGAAGAGTCTGTATCCTGAAATGTCTCCGTTACTTAATGAACTGAGTGGAAAGCTGTAAAGAGGTGAAGAGGTAATGTAAAGGAAGTATTTGTACTCTGATGTGTCGTACAATTTCATTATCATCCATTATGGATTTTTTAGTCTGACGTTCTCCCAACTGAGCTATGAGTAATCCCCACCTTCTCGATTTGATTATGGGCTTTGGTAACTCCATAAACAATAAATTGCTTCAGCATAATGATAAAGTTTTCTCCATTCCAGAATCTGAGCCCAATCTTCACTAAATTTATATGATGAAATAAAATCATAAAGATCATACTAAAAGAAAGAACTGAGAAGCACAGGGAACTAAACTAACATCATTTATGTACATATTTGCCCAAATGCTGAGAAGTTTGTGCTAGAATTAGCAAATAGCAGAAACAGACCTTTTAGGAGTTCATGTAGCACATCGCTTGTGCTTGAAGATAATAAGAATCCTTGTATTTTCTGCCACTTGCAACAAAAATTCCGCTGTTAATCCAGTCTTCACGATGTATCCAAGCATCCCGCCCAAAATCAAGCACTCCAATAATCTGTCACATTTTTATCATATACTATTATTCTAATGGATTTGAATTTTCAAGAAAAATGTTAAGAACGATAGCTTGTTTTTATCATATACTATTATTCTAATGGATTTGAATTTTCAAGAAAAATGTTAAGAACGATAGCTTGTAAACTCTGCTGCAGCTAAAGATTTCTGATAATTTCACTATGTATTATTCTATTATTCAACATACTATATAGAGGAAGGGAAATTGTGTTGAGGATTGTTGGGAGAGGAGTCTCACAATTCGCTAATTAAAGGGAAAAGGCAAAATAAATTAATAATAATAAATGTGAATAGACGTCTTTTAATGGCATTCAACTTACCGCTCCGCCTTTCCATGATGCAAAAGAAGGGTTTGTTCTTGATTGTAACACCTATTTGGAACACATCGTTCAGTCATATAATTAGTTTAAAGTGGACAAGAACTTATAGAGGGCCATTGATAATCTAATATTAATGTGGTACTAAATTCAAATAATTTCCAAATTCGATGATCTAGACGTAAGGAAATGACTTATGTTATATGCAATCTAACCTCAACAGTGTCTATCGCTTCATTTGAAGGAATTGCATGCAAGACTCTGCAAAGGGAAACAAAAAAACATATAGAAGAGCGTTAAAATATCAAGCACAAGTAGATCACTCCCAAAGAGTACTTCAGACACTGAGATGATAGAAGAGCGTTAAAATATCAAGCACAAGTAGATCACTCCCAAAGAGTACTTCAGACACTGAGATGACAAGGATGAAGATATACTGCCATTAACCTATGTTCCTAGAATGAACCTTTCTATGCATTTGTCCACATCCATAAAGTGAAAACCCTATCCAACTGCAATAGTATCAGTGCTCCACAAGTTTGGAATGTTAAACGGTTGCAAAAGGAATTCAGCCAAACATTTTTATGAGATGGTACTTAAATTAGTTTGGAATGTTAAACGGTTGCAAAAGGAATTCAGCCAAACATTTTTATGAGATGGTACTTAAATTGAGAGCTTGATGGGCTAAATGGACAATCATTCAACCCTGAATTTATATATTTTATATTACCAAGGTTGATGAATCACTCCCGAGTTCAAAATTATCCAGAAACAAATTTCCATCTGTTGTATGGAACTCAAATGACGTTCTTTGTGCTTATTTGCACAATCAATAAAAAATATAAAGAAAAATTGAAACAACATATGATCTTGAAGCTTAAGACAACAACAAACCTTTCCTAAAAAATATAAAGAAAAATTGAAACAACATATGATCTTGAAGCTTAAGACAACAACAAACCTTTCCTCCATTGCAGGAACAAGACCCCTTGTCAGAGCCACCCCACCAACCTAAAGTCCAAAACAATATTATTTCCTCTGTCCATATCAAATATATGGAATTTGCACTTTGTACACTTCAACTGAAATTCAAAACTTCATGAAAAAGAAACTTACTAACTGTATGCTTAAGAACAGTTTCCTCTGGAGGTCAATCCGCCCTGTTCAGTAATCAAGGAGCATAACCATTAAAATCTCACATGCTGGTAGGAAAAAAAACAATCCGCCCTGTTCAGTAATCAAGGAGCATAACCATTAAAATCTCACATGCTGGTAGGAAAAAAAAAATGCCCAAGGCTTGCCGTATACCTGTTGAGAGGATGCTGCTGGTGATAGCTTCAGCAAGACCAACGTTCTCTTCTTTCTTTGGTTTAGTTGCATAAACTGGGTAGGTATCCCACATAGGGAAATTAACCAACGTTCTCTTCTTTCTTTGGTTTAGTTGCATAAACTGGGTAGGTATCCCACATAGGGAAATTAACGTTAACGCCAGGATATACATTATCGGGTAAATCAGGTCTTCTGGAGTACTCTGTATGCCATGTATCTTCCAGCATATCCTCATGGTCATGAAACCTAAAAATATCATCACTAAATTTTCAGAATAATCGCCATACAGCTATGATTTGACATGAAAACTAGTTGAAAATGATTATCAGTTACTGACCATGCACGGGGTGGTGGTGGATACACATCTGGAACCAATAGCATTGGGAAGAACAATCCCATAGGTGGTACCTGGTGGGGGGGGGGGGGCATAATGATAAATGATTTTTCTAATAGATGTTCGTGAAATAAAAAATGAATTCATTACGAAGGCCCACATTAAGCGCAGTCAGTCTTGTTTTATGAGAACCAGCAGGGGTGCCTTCTTCATACGAGTGAACTACAGCAACAGCATCGACTTCCCCTTCCTGTCAATTGGAACCAAATGATAAAAGGAAATCGATCTAAATACAAGGGCATCGATTAGAAACAACATCTGAAAAATACACGAAAATCCTCAAAAGGTTAATTCACGAGCATAATGTATCTCAACTTTACAAAAATAAGCATTTTATTCAAATATTCCATCACTAAGTTCTAAACAACAGTATATCCTTGAAAAACAAATGACCAGCTCATAATATGGAACTGTAAACAACAAAAATGCATTAAAATCATTTTATATGTGATAATATAACCAGCTCATAATATGGAACTGTAAACAACAAAAATGCATTAAAATCATTTTATATGTGATAATATAATTTCTTTAGTTATGGTCATTTTTCTTCTTTAACACAGCACCAGAAATTAATTGAAAATTGAGAGAAGGGTTATTTCAGACCAATTGAAAATTAAGAGAAGGGTTATTTCAGACCGAAGCTTACATAGAAATCTTGTTTTAGGGGAATATTGAAACAGCATGGAGATGTTTGGAATCACAACTCTCCACACTGGTATGATATTGTCCACTTTGAGCATAAGCTCTCGTGGCTTTGCTTTGGGCTTCCCCAAAAGGCCTCATACCAATGGAGATAGTATTCCTCACTCCCAATAATCCTCAACAATCCTCCCCACGAACAAAGTACCCTATAAACCTCCCCGGAGGCTTATGGAGCTCTCAAATAGCCTCCTCCCCTTAATCGAGGCTCGACTCCTTTCTCTAGAGCCCTCGAACAAAATACACCCTTTGTTCCACGCTTTAGTCACTTTTGACTACACCTTCGAGGCTCACAATTCTTTGTTCAACACTTGAGGATTCTATTGACATGGCTAAGTTTAGGGCATGGCTCTGATACCATGTTAGTAATCACGACTCTCCGCAATTGTATGATATTGTCCACTTTGAGCAAATAGCTCTCATGGCTTTGCTTTGGGCTTCCCCATAAGGCCTCATACTAATGGAGATAGTATTCCTCACTTATAAATCCATGATCTTCCACTAAATTAACCAATGTGGGACTCACTCTCAATAATCCTCAACGGAATTAGTGGGCAAAAACTATAAATCATTGTATCACAAATATAGCCCTTAACCATACATTCAAATGCAATATAAGAATTATGGTCCAACTTCTTTTAAAAAAATAAAAATAATAATAATAAATAAATAAATCAAGAAAGATAGAAAGCAGTCTAAAAAATTAGTAAACAAACAAATTTTCAAGAACCATTTCTAGAAAACACAACCAAACGGCAAACGGCATCCAAACATCAAACAAACAAATTTTCAAGAACCATTTCTAGAAAACACAACCAAACGGCAAACGGCATCCAAACATCCTTTAAGGACAAAATAATTATGAAAAGAAATGGGTTAATTTTCAAGAAAACAACAATTATTCAAACTCACCTTAATCTCACAGTAGAACTCTTTCAGTCTATTAAGCATCAGAAGATCAACAGGCTTCGCCAAGATGTCAGTACGAATTGGTGGCCAGGTCTGATGATGCCTCTGAGTCCACAGGAGGCATCTAGATACGTCCTGAAAAAAACCCACTGAAATCAATTACCAAATAAAATAAAAAGGTTTCATCACAGAGCACCGAGGGAAAGTTGCTAAATAATTAAGGTCTCATTCTGTATTTTGTTTTGTTTTGTTTTTTGTTTTTTTTTTTTTTTTTTCTGTTTTTTAAAATTAAGCTTGTTTGCGCACAAATTTTTTCTTGAGTTTTTCACCTACCTTCAAAACACATTTCAATTCTAATCCAAATATCAAAAACAAAAACAAAATCAAATTTTTAAAATACTTTTTTAGTCTTTAAAATTTGGCTTGAGTTTTTAAAAAGTACGTAATAAAGCAAGAAAATTAAATGTGAAAGTAGTGTTTTATAACCTTAGTTTTAAAAAATACAAACTGGTTACCGAATGGACCTAAACTTTTGTGTTCCCAGATTTTTTACACCATATTAATGATGACTTTCAACAAACAACGTAATTGTAGCAACTGAGAAACTACCCAACCTCTCCCCCGAAAGGCAAAGTCTTTGCTGTCGCAGGCAGAGCAACTCCATCCTAGACACCAAAAGATGAACAATTACAACAAGATCGCTGAATACTTAATACTTCAGGAAACACATCTACATTTCCAAACACAGACTAAATATTGTCTCTTAAAATATGAAAAACCAGTTACTTTTAAAAGTAAAAAAGAAGGTTAGAAAATACTGAATTTACCTCGATGCAAATAATTGTTGTCACCTGTGCTCCCATGTTGACAACACATGCTGAAGATAGTCCATTACCAAAAACTGCAGCAAGCCCTTCCTGCGACATCCAAAATTACGAAAATTGTCCATTTAACGAGGTAACCGCTAACAAATAGAAAGAAAAATTAACCATGTGATGTACAGAATTGAAGGACAGGAAAATTTGAATCAAAACATTCAGTTGTAGATCTTATTAAAAGCTTGGGTTTATTAATTACATCCATTTGATTTAGTTATTTTGCAAATCGTTTTCTTATTTCTTAAAATGCTTTCAAATACTCCCATTTGCAAAATATAAAAACCATACCTTTCTATTAAACCTTAACCTTTATTTTTAACGAAATCGAATCAAGTAGCTTATACCAACAATAACGTAGAGCATTATCCTATTAGAAGGTTCAAACGGACATGTTAGATCCCCTCTTTTTTGTAACAAGCAACATCTTGTATCTTATATCAAGCATCATGCAAGCACTGTTAGGTGATAACTACAGTCTTCTTCACTTCTTCATGATTAGAAAGTTTTTATGTCATTAGCTCCCCTCAGAAGGGTTTTGGTTTTTTCTTCCCCTTGCCCTTAGGCTGATTTTTAGTTCTAATAAATACCCAGGTTTCTTATTTAAAAAAAAAAACAGTATTTCCACTCTAGGTTCACTATTCACCAAAAATGTCGCAGTCAAAGGCTTGGAAGATTCATGAACTCTTGCATTTTTTTTTTTT